ATCCGATCTGTTCTTTAAGGAAATCGTCGTTTTACATGGGGTTCCTAGAACCATAGTGTCAGATCGAGATACCAAGTTTCTCAGCTACTTTTGGAAAACGTGGTGGGCTAAATTAGGAACTAAACTATGTTTTTCCACAACTTGTCACCCTCAGACCGACGGTCAAACCGAAGTGGTCAATAGGACCTTGTCAGCTCTTTTGAGATCGGTCATTAAAAGGAACCTTAGGACTTGAGAGGAATGTTTACCTCATGTTGAGTTTGCTTATAACCGAGCTGTTCATTCTACAACTTTGTTTTCACCATTTGAGCTAGTTTATGGTTTTAATCTTCTTACACCTTTGGATCTAACCCCTTTGCCAATGAATGAGCGTGAAAACATGGATGGGAAAAAGAAAGCCGAGCTGGTGAAGAAAATGCACGAGAAAGCAAGGCAGAACATCAAAAGAAAGACGGAGCAATTCCAGAAGTATGCCAACAAAGGAAAAACCAAAAGGATGTTTGAGCCCGGAGACCAAGTGTGGATCTACCTAAGGAAGGAGAGGTTTCCCGAAGAGCGAAAGTCTAAATTAAAGCCAAGAGTGGACGGACCCTTCACAATCTTGGAGCGGATCAACGACAATTCATACAAGATTGATCTCCAAGGTAAGTATTCAGTTAGCTCAAGTTTCAATATTGCTGATATCATTCCTTTTCACGCAGATGAAGCCGACTTGAGGACAAGTCCTTTTCAAGAGGGGGGGGGGATGATAGAATCATGGCCGAGATGGGAGCTAAGTACGAGGAACAAATCGAGGTTCAGCCCGAAACGCAAGATCAAATGGCCGAGGTGACCGAGCTGAGCGAAGTCGAGGTTCAGGGAAGGGTACAAGATCAAGATACCGACCAGCCCGATGTCCTGGCCATACCAGTTGGACCCATGACCAGGTCGCGTACAAAGAAGCTTATGGGGACCATCCAACAAGTCCTTACTGAGCTAAGGAACCAAGGCCGAGCTGACGACCCAACACCCGTGAACAAAGTCATGACCGTTCTCAGGTACTCTGGTCCGAACTGACCTGGTTGGGGTGTTGTGTTAATACTCTTTTTCCTTACATTCGGTTTTGTCCCACTGGGTTTTCCGAATGGGGTTTTAACGAGGTTAATGCACGCCCATCTCACGACCATGGTTCGATTCGCGGCTAAGTATAACGGTCAAGGAAGCTTAAAGGTCTAGTGAGAGGACGCGAAGGGTCATCTGGAAATCCAATCGTTATTCAACGCATCTAGTCTCGTTTAGTTTTCATTAATGTCTTTTAATTTCCGTTAAGACCTATGGTCTTCCTTTTTAGCCTCTATATAAAGGCGACAATGTACTTGGATCTATCATCACTTATATTTTAATAAAATTTCTCTTTGAGTTTTCTCTTTTG